AGCCCTTGGGTACCACACTCACACTCACTATACCCTTCAGAATATATGCCATTATTTACTACTTTCTGGATGTACCCCTGCAACCAGCTTTCTATACGTGTACATACAATCTCATCAATGCCAAAAGACAAATGTAATTACTCTGTGATCACTGTTACCTAAATTATCTTTTACTTCTACATCTGTAATCAGCTCTGTGCCGTTTGTAATCAGCAGGCCCAGCAGTGCATTATTCCTAGTTGAGGTTTCCACTATTTGACTCAATCTGTCCTCCATTACAGTATATGCCTTAGCTGAATGAGCAGTTCCATTTTCCCAATCAAGAATTGCCAGAATAGTTGATATCCCCCATGATTTTAGATTTGCCTCCCCGCCATCTTGAACTGTGAAAAGATACTGGTCTCTTCGACATGCCTAACGTTAGGTAGTCTATAGCATAAACCCCAATTAATTGTTTCATCCCTTTGAAGCTCTAGCCACAAAGATTTTACCTCCTTTTTAGCCCCATTAGCAATTTCATCCCTCATATTCACTATCGAATTGCTCTTGACCTACATGCACACCCTTCTTCCTCTTCTGCCTACCCTGTCCCTTCAAAACAGAGAGTACCCCTGGACAGTTGCAAGACAGTCATGTAAGCCATCATTTATTCCCATGAAGTCAAAATTCTCCTTGTGTTTTAGCAATTCTAATTCTTTTTTATTGAACAGACTTCTACCATTTGTATACAAACCCTTTCATTTTGTACAAGAGCGAATTATTTTATCCCTGCTCAATCTTAGTTTCCAGTAAGATTGAGTCAGCCTATAAGTACTGGTCTTCACAATTTTTGGTTTCCCTATCAGCTGTTTGGGGTCCCCTTCCCCATCAAACTTTACCCACATCTGCACACTTTGACCCTTGCTCACTGCACAGTACACCTCTCAATCAATCCCTTTCCTCTATCCTAGTTTGAAATTTCCACCAACCTTCTGGCCATCTTCTCCCCAGTAGAGTTGCACCCTCCCGATTTAGATGCAGTCCATCTCTACTGTAGAGCCAATAACCAAAGTCAGCCCAATTCTCCATGAACCCAAACCCTCTTTCATACATCAATCAACCTTGTACAGTGCTGTGAAAAAGTATTTGTCTTCTTCCTATTTTTTTTCTTTTTTGCATATTTGTCACACTTAAATGATTCAGATCATCAAACAAATTTTAAAATTACACAAAGATAACCCAAGTAAATACAAAATGCAGTTTTTAAATGATGCTTTCATTTACTGAGGAATAAAGCTGTCCAAACCTGCCTGGCCCTATGTGAAAAAGTAATTACCTTCTAAACCTAGTATCTGGTTGTGCCACCCTTGGCGGCAACATCTGCAATCAAGCGTTTGTGATAACTGACAGTGAGATTTTCACATCACTGTGGAGGAATTTTGGTCCATTCTTCTTTGCAGAATGTTTTATTTCAGCCACATTAGAGGGTTTTTAAGCATGAACAGCCTGTTTTAGGTCATGCCACAATATCTCAATTGTATTTAAGTCTGGAATGTGACTAGGCTACTACAAAACCTTAAATTTGGGGGGTTTTTTAACCAGAGGTGGACTTGCTGATGTGTTTCTGATCATTGTCCTGCTGCTTAAAGCCAAGAACTGCTGGCCGGACATTCTCCTTCAGGATTTTCTGGTAGAGCGCAGAATTCATGGTTTCATTAATTATGGCAAGTCCAGGTCCTGAAGCTTCAAAGCAGCCCCAGACCATCACACTACCACCACCATGTTTGACTGTTGGCATGATGTTCTTTTTATGAAATGCTGTGTTTGTTTTAAGCCAGATGTAATGGAACGCACACCTTTGAAAAATCTCAACTTTTATCTCATCAGTCCACAGAATATTTGCCCAAAAGTCTTGGGGATAATCAAGATTTTTTTTGGCAAATGTGAGACGAGCCTTTTTGGTTTTCTTGATCAGAAGTGGCTTTCACCTTGGAACTCTCCCATGGATGCCATTTTTGCCCAGTCTCTTTCTTATTGCTGAAGAATGAACACTGACCTTAACTGAGGCAAGTGAGGCCTGCAGTTCTTTAGATGTTGTTCTGTGTTTATTTATGACCTCCTGGATGAGTCGTCATCGTGCTCTTGGAGTAATTTTGGGAAGGTTCACCATTGTTCCAAGTTTTTCTCCATTTGTGGATAATGGCTCTCATTATGGTTTAGTTGGAGTCTCAAAGCCTTAGAAATGGCTTTGTAACCACTTCCAGACTGATACATGCCAGTTTTTTACTTTGTTTCTCATCTGTTCTTGAACTTCTTTACTTCGCTGCATCAGTGCTCCGAACACGGTGTTGCTTTTTGAGATCTTTTAGCATGCTTCACTTTATCAGACAGCTTCTATTTAATTGATTTCTTGATTTAACAGGTTTGGCAGTAATCAGGCCCAAGTGTGGCAAGTGAAATTTAAGCTTTCTAAAAAATTTGGTTAATCACAACTTATTCATGGTTTAGCAAGGTGGTAGATGGGGGCAATTACTTTTTCAGATAGGGAAATGAAGGTTTGGAAAGCTTTTACCCTTAATAAATTATATCATTCAAAATCTGCATTTTTTATTTTCCTCTGGTTGTCTTTGTGTAATATTAAAATTTGTTTAATGATCTGAATCATTTAAGTGTGACAAATATGTAAAAATAGAAAAAAAATCAGGAAGGGGGCAAATACTTTTTCACAGCTCTGTATTAAGCTCTCAAAGCTCTTGCTGCCTTTCTAGTGTGGCACAGGCAGTATTTCTGAAAATACTACATTGGAGGTCCTTCTCTTTAATATAGTACCTAAGCACCTGAAATATTTTTTTAAGGGCACCATCTTCCTCGAACTTTGCCATTTGTACCAATGTGGATCATGACAACTCTACCTTATAATCTAACCATTTGATCCACAATGTGCCATTCCTGTGTGACCGGTAAACAACATACAGTCTATCCTTACTAGGGCCCCTGCCCTAATCCCTACAGGAGTAGTTGTTCCACTGGCAGCTAGGTGAGGCATACTGCTCCAGCAATGCCACTCCGGAGCTGATATCCCCAAAATCATGCAAAAGAGCATATTTATTAAGCTGTATCAACTCAGGACTAGACTCTCTAACACTTCTCACTCTACCCTGTCTAACTGTAACTCAACTACCTACCTCAGGTGCCTTCATCTCCACATTACACAGTTACATAGTTAAGGTTGAAAGCAAAGGCACTGGTCCATCCAGTTCAGTGTGTGAGTGTGTGTGTATACATGTTTGTGTTTATGTCATTATCAACACCCTACTCTATACTGGCCCCAGATAGCACCTGACAGGTATGTCCACATTACCATCCAGGTTGTTGATGGTTCACAGTGTTGCCAGTTGATTCTTTAGATCCAAGATCTAAGCTTCCAAACAAACAACTTGCTCACATTTTGCACAGCAGTATTTGTTGTCGAACAGTGCTCAGGGACCGTATACATTGAGCAAGATGTGCACTGGGTCGCATCACCACTTCTGTAGATCATGTTACCCACTAACATAATGAGGATAAATGAAAAGTTTTGTTTTTATTTTTAATTTACCTATTTTATGCTTGGCACTATTTGTTTGTCTTCAGTACTCACAGCTCCCTCAGTGCTCCTCAGTACTTACAGTGATCTCAGTACCTTCAGTACCACTCAGTATTTATAGTGCCATCAGTGCTCATACTTTTTGTTTGGTCTACAAAAATGGCAACTTTAAGATTTTAGCCATCATCTAAATACCTCCCATTAGGTAAATAGAAATTTAGTGTAAGCATTTCTAGCAGAGATTATCATTTTCCTATACTATACTCTAGGTTGTGTTATAATTTAATGAAGGGCCACTTGTCATAGAGATTGAATGACAGCTATGACTATGTAAAGGTTATTGTCCTAGCTGATACTTCCTTATTTGATGTTTACCGGAGAGGTACAGTAACCCAACTTTGCAAAGACAATTATAAATGTGTAATTCTCTCAGTAAAACGTGCGGTCATTTATTTACCATGGCCCTAACCGCTTTAGGAAAGACAAATTAGGAAACAGATACTCAAACATTGCCAGATCTAATAATAGACTTCAAATCCCACTGTGGTACAACAGATGTTATGAGAATTTTCACTGAATTTTCACTGAAAACACAAATGTCTATAAATCTATAAGCATACATGCTGTCGCCATACATTAACAAAAAAATTGAAAATTACTGCACTAAATGCCAATGCATGTACAAAGTTTGACTATTATAATTAACATTATTATTAGCAAATAATTTTGAAGAAAAAAAAAAAAAAAAAAAGTACATCTAAAGCAAGTCAGTATGGACACACAAAAACACTGGGCTAGGCACACATTTAACCCTTTGATCACCCAAAATGTTTAACCCCTTCCCAGCCAGTGCCATTAGTACAGTGTCAGTGCATATTTTTAGCACGGATCATTGTTTTAGTGTCACTGATTCCCACAAAGTGTCAGTTGATTCCCACAATAGTGTCAGTTGAGTGTCAGGTTGTCCACTGCAATATTGCAGTCCTGTTATAAATTGCCCATCGCCACCATTACTAGTAGTATAAAATAAAAATGTCAGTACATATATTATAGTTGTTAGGTGCTATATACCATTCACGTAAACCAATCAATATACACTTATTGAGATTTTTTTTTTACCAAAAATATGAAGCAGAAGACATATTGGCCTAAATTTATGAAGAAATTAGATTTATATAGTAATATGACGGACGCAAGGTGGTTGTCTCGTTCTGGGAGAACGTCATATGACGTCCCCCCATTCTAACCGCGCATGCACAGCTCCCGGAGCACACAGCGCGGCGATCGGCGGTGCGCTGTGTCCCTCGGACACAGCGGACCACCGATCCACGGAAAGAGCCGAAGATGTCGGCTCGGTCATGTGATCAGCTGTGTCCAATCACAGCTGATCACATATAAACAGGGAAATGCCGGTTATCGGTATTTCTCTCCTCTCGAGCTGTCAAGCTGACAGCTCGAGAGCGAGAGGAGAGCCAGTAATCGGCATTCCTTGGAGGGGACATGTACACTGATCATCAGAGCACTGATGATCAGTGTGCCCTGATGATCAGTGTAGCCCCAAAAGTGCCACATGTCAGTGTCCATCAGTGCCAGCTGTCAGTGCCCATCAGTGTCACATCAATGCCACATATCAGTGCCTACCCGTGCACATCAATGCCACATATCAGTGCCTATCTGAGCTGCCTTTCAGTGTCACCCTACAGTGTTGCCAATCAGTGCTGCCTATCAGTGCCAGTCAGTGTTGCCTATCAGTGCCAGTCAGTGTTGCCTATCAGTGCCAGTCAGTGCCATATATCAGTGCTGCCTTTCAGTGCCCATCAGTGATGTCTGTCAATGCCCATCAGTGCCACCTACCAGTGCCTCCTCATCAGTGCCCATCAGTGCCACCTACATTTTCCAACTCCTTGGACAAGACCCCTTTATTTTAACTTTTTTTCCCTACAATATAAAAGGGTGTATGTATCAGATTTCATTTTATAAAGTGTAAACACTTTTAAACCTTTTGGGGGATTTAATCTTATATAATAAACACATCTGTTTTTTTTTATCAGCCTTTGTTAAAGAATATTTGTACTTTTACCCATAGAGCACGTTCCTACTGTGCAGCCAGTCTGTACACAACCAAAAATCAGCAACATTTTCCAAAACCGCAAATCATCACTTCTTGCACAACACTTCAAGCCACTGATTCTATCTATATCTCAAGACACTGATAATAATACCAATGGGTCATACATTTTAGTTTTTTTCATCATTTTGAAGACCAATTAATCTTCTACTATGATGATTGATGCCAATGCCAACTATGAGGACAGGTGCACACCAGGAATCGCACAGGAATGTATTATGTGTTCCTGTTCAATTTGCATGTAGTTTTGTGCGATGCGATTTCAGCATATCCATTCTGAATGAACTGATATCGCACTGCACCAAAATTAGTGCATGCACTACTTTTGGAACCTCACTGCAGGGTATAGGATTATAACTTTTTTTTTTTTATGTTTGAACTGGATGGACTTTTGTCTTTTTTAGCCAGACTAACTATGCAACTGCAACGATATCTGTACCATGCGCTCTGGTGCGGGAAAACACACTGCTTTTGGGCCTGCGTTTAGGGTGTGATTAAGTTAATATTCACATCCACTGCAGATCACAAATGCAATGCGTTTTGAACGCGGTGTGCGAAAAGTGCATGGCATGCAGGCTACCCACACCATGTTTGGGTGTAAATTGGCCCTGAGCCACTGGGTTCTCCGCCTACTTCACTCAGCAATACAAGCCCATGTTTTAACAATCCAACCCAAACCAAAGCACCTAGCAAAAAACCACCCAGTTTAGCAATCACAGCCTTGGTGGCATTGAACTACACCACTTCTGACAAATAGGGCCAAATAATACTCTTACAAAATCTTGCAGATAAAATACTGTATATTAAAGTCTATGCAAAGTGAATTGTTTTCTTACATTTGGAAATAGGGGGGAATGGTTAAGATTCTTGCTAGGTGTTTATTGCCATCTATTGGTCCTGCTGAGCATTTCCTTAACACAGTACATAAAGTGATGGGAAATCCATATATTTCTGAGTTGTCATATGAAAACGAGGTAAGGAGAAATCTTCCAGTAGGTACAATTGTTCTGTTGCATCTCTGAGACAGGAAATGAAACTGTAACGTGGCTTTACATTACACTTTAAATTTAGGCAATAACAATATCATTGTATATTTTACTATCCCACAGACAGGTTTTCATTGATATGTTTCTGTGAATAGACTCTTTAATTTCTGTTTTATATTTTTTTTATGCTTGTACTTTTTGAGATTATTATTCATTGTGTTTTTCTACTCTTTTGCCATTACTTGTCTACATTTTATGTTTTGAAGGCTTTTATTTTTTATGAAATTAAAGTGTAGCATTACTACACAGTCCATTTTAAAGCAACAATTCAACAAAATAAAATGAGATGATTATGTTCAGTCTAATGTTTAAAAATAATATACTGTATTATGTATTTTATAAAACTTCAGCAAGTGAAAAGATATGAAGCAAAAAATGTTACATAAAGAACAGAAACTTGGTTTTTCGGTGCTTTCACTATCATGCCAAAATCTGTGTCATATTTCTACAACAAAGGGATTGATATTCTAAAGGCAAATAGGCTGTTCACTTTGCAAGGAAAGTTGCATTATGCAAAGGATTTTCTTCCTACAGCTTAGTGAATGTAGTGAAATTTCATTTAGCAAAGAATACCCAATCACGTGCAAGGAAAATTTAAAAAAAAAAAAAAACAGCATTTTTTCTTGCACATGGTTGGACGATTGAAGCCAACAGAGCTTCACCTCATGCAGTAAGCCCTGGGTTGAACTCCTCTGTAAACTGTAGCTTCCCTTGCAAAGTTATCAGTCTTTGCTTTTAGTAAATCAACTTTAAAGCATCAACAATAATGTGTAAATGCTAAAGATGTTTTGTCCACTATGAAAAATGCTTTAGTATCAATCTGTTCCTTTAATGATCATCTTAGGCCCCTTTCACACAACCGTTTTGATCAGGTCCACCTGTCAGTTTTTCAGGTGGACCTGACTACACGGTCTATTCATCCCTATGGACTGGCCGGTGTAAACGTACTTGTGTCCATTTACACCTACATACCTCCAATCTGATCTGCTAAAAACAAATGGAAGGGGATCTGTTCTCCTCCGTGTAGGCAGATCGTAACAGAGGTAGTCAGGTGTAAACAGACAGCGGAGTCCGTTTACACCCTGCCACCCAAAGAACAGAGCATGCTCTGTCCGTGTCCTCTCTGCATAAACTGAGCAGACATAGATCTTTCATCCACCCACTCTGCTCAGATCAGCAGACAGATCTGTGAAGCTGAGCAGAGCCCACCCCGTATGAAAGTAGCCTAATGTCAAGGGAGGCACCAAGTTTCTTTAAATGTACATTTGTTTTCTAAAGTAAGTTGTTTTCCAATTGCCATGTTTGTACAAGTGCTTACAGTACATATTTGCTACTTTATGAAAAAGACCTGAAATTCGCAGACCCACATCCACTGGCGTATAGCAGAAGATTTCTCCAAACTTTCAAAACGAAGGGCCAGTTTACTGCCCTTCGAACTTTACAAGCGCCGCACTGTGGCCAGTGGGAGTGAAAAAAAAAATGATATCATTGGTGTCAGTGGGAGGAATAGTGCCCCATCATTGATGCAAGTGGGTGAATTAATTCCCCAGCTCTGGAGTCAATGGAAGGAATAGTGCCCCAAGGGCAAGATAAAGGACCACATTCCAGCCCGTGGGCTGCAGTTTGGAAACCCTGATGTATACTCACCGGCCACTTTATTAGGTACACCTGTTCAATTGCTTGGTAACACAAATTGCTTATCTGCCAATCACATGGTAACTCAATGCATTTAGGCATCTAGACGTGGTGAAGATGACTTGCTGAAGTTCAAACTGAGTATCAGAATGGGGAAGAAAGGAGATTTAAGTGACTTTGAACATAGCATAGTTGTTAGTGCCAGACGGGTTGGTCTGAGTATTTCAAAAACTGCTGATCTACTGCGATTTTCATGCACAACCATCTGTAGAGTTTACAGACAATGGTCCAAAAAAGAGAAAACATCCAGTGTGCAGCAGTTGTGTGGACTAAAATGCCTAGTTGATGTCAGAGGAGAATGGGAAGACTGGTTGCTGTGATGGCGTGGCATGGCAGTATCGTGTTCTGTCTGAACAGTCTCCAATAAAGTTTTCTTGTGGATAACAACAGCGGTGTGTAACCCTCCTTTTCAGACTTGCCTCATCTTCTACAGGAGAGTAAATGGGCTCTGTGCCAGCCAACACCTGCCCATTAAGTCTTAAGTTATTACTAAAACCAGTAATAATTGAATGCAGAGGCAATGATTTAATATGATAAAGAGTAGATGCATTGATATACTTTTACAGATACAACCGGCCCTTTGAGAGAAACCTTAATGCTGATGCGGCCCACCATGAAATTGAGTTTGACAAACCTGATTAAAACACAGTCTTTTACGCTGTGACAACCACCTTCTCTTTTCATAAAAGGCACAGTAACAGCTAAAGCTAGCAGGTTAGATTGTAAGTAAACTCATGTGATCAGCACAATTGGCGGTTATGGTGACCATATAATTGGAAGACTCATTCCTGATCATTAGTGTAAGCCAGGGGTAGGTAACCTTAAAGAGGTGGAGATCTACCTGAACAACATGGGAGAAGTCAAAGATCACCGGGCACAGTGTTGGCCAGTGGGTTTCAATCACATTCGGATCGCTTTCAGAGGAGCAGTAATGGCTGCTGTACTTGTGAATGAGCACTTAGTTGCATCCGGCAGCAGCACCCTAAGGGCTCGTTCACATAAAAGTTGGGGTGTGTAAAACCCTGTGATCGAGTCGCGGTTTTACCGCCTCTAACCCCTTTAGCTGCTGAGGCAGCAACCAACGGTGTACACATGCCGCAGCAGGAATTACATCCCCTGTTGCTTTTGGTGGGTGCTACTGCCTGTAAATCAAGACCCATTCAAGTAAATGGGGCCACTCTGCAAGTACCCCACAACTGCATGCTTCTGCAGGGTCCAAGAGGTTAAAGCAGGTGGTGAGAAAGCAACACACCACTGCCTGTTTAGCCCCTTGTTTGCTGTACTGAACAAGGTTGCAGGGCACTTGCAACGCTGCCTCATTCACTTGAATGGGTCATGCTTGGCAGGTGCTACACCCACCAACCATGACAGGACGTAGGAGCCAGCACTAAAGATGAGACATCAACTTATGTGGTTCTTGATCCCCACTACAGCTCCAGCTTTACAAGTAGTCCCTCTGCATTGCACTCTGTTTGATGCTCTGGGATGGCAGGTCAGCAAGCCCTGACTGTGATCTACTAGTCACCTGACCAAGATCTACTGATAGATAAATGATCTACTGATTGCTGATCCTCGGTGTAAACAAAGCATTCCCAACCTGGGTTCCTCCAGAGTTTGTTAGGGGTTCCTTAAACTGTGGCTAATTAATCTCTGATCTGTCTTCATAGTTCCGGGTCCAACACCACTTGGCATGACACCAATGATCCTTTTAGTTGTCTGTAAGCCTTGTATTCTAACCATGACTGTATAGGAGGTACAAGCAAACATTGTACCATCATACATACAAACATAAGGCACTAGGAACAACAAGGTGTACCATGAACAACTGATGGTTTAAGGCAAAATGCTTAGTACAAAACGAGAGCAGATGTCAATATATAAAAAACAATACAGAACAGGGGAAAGGAAAAGAAAAGAGTGGAAGAGAGGGTCAAGAT